GTACTTAGCATAACATGTAATAAATAATAAAGCACTATAGGCAGCACTGATGTGAGATTTGAGATTTCTACAGTCTGTAGCAAGTAGTACCCGTGGAGTGGATCTGCCAAAAATGCAAATGCATTTGACCACTTCATGATCTTTATAAATATGCCTGATTCATTTTGAACATAGTCTTACAACGTTTCCCATGGGGAGTCGTGAAAGGTTGTTTACACCACACTAAAATCGTCTCACAGCAAACTGGATTTTAACTGGTTTTTGTCTTCAGTCTTTGAACTGCTTTGATGCAACTACTTTTTTCAAGCACATGTGTTCAAGATGTTAAAAGGCTCTTTACTTACTGCTGTCAAAAGTACTATTGAATCTGAATGCTTGTTAGATAACCTACAGTAGTTTTAAATGCTAATTCATAAAATGAGACAGTCTTTGGCATGCTGTATGAGAAGGGAATAAAGAATAAAGCTCTTTGGATGATGTGTTGTTGTTGCAAACAACCAAAGGAAAATCAGTCATTTATTAGTTCTAATCAAAATATACCTAAACAAAAATGAAACCTCAATTTATGCATTGCTAAATATTGAACCAGTGCTTTCCTCAAGCTTTACTTGTATTGTTCTATTTTTTGCCATTCTTTTTGTTCTTCTCTTGACAAATGACTGCGAAGGCGCAACTTATTTTTCTCTGCAGTATGGTGTCCAATGATGCTGTGGTGGAAATATGGTATTTATTTTTGCATTTTAAATTTTAAATTTTATTTTGTTGTGGTGCGGTGGAGGCAAATTTATTTTACAAACAAATGATGCTAGTTGTGGCAGGGAGGGAAAAAGGGAAAGTCAAGGTATTTATATGGGGATTTTATTTCTCTCGCTCGGAATCCTGGAGTCTTTGTCTCCAAAAGATTTCAGTTAATCTATAGAGGACTACTCTTTCTCTGTTTTTCCTGCGGATATATTAGCAGGCTTGTTTCCCATCACATTTTTTCCCCTATGGTTAGATTGTTTTCAGTGATGTGGCTCCAATACAGGAAGTTTTGAAGTGTAAATAATCAAAATTATCTTCACTGGTTGCAAACCATTCCAGTAATATGTCTGCAGAGTTGCTATGTATGTACCTACTCTAAAATCATGTGAGCTTTTGCGCTGCTGGCTTATGGAGGCTGCAGATAACTTGGGATTTTTCTCCATTTTAATCTAATAGTGCTAGTTTTTACTCAGTATTGATGGAAACCAAATAAATTTTGTTGAGATGGAAAATCTCATTTCTGTTTGGACATTGCGTTTCACATAGAAGCTTCTGTACGTGTGTAGATCATGCAATGATAAAGCAGAAAAAAGTTTTTAAAAAGAATACTTTATTATGGAGAGTATCATGGTTCTGGAGATAATTCAATAATTACAATCTTAAAAAAGCTGATTTGAAACTATACTGAATTTTTATGTAATAACTTTAATGGACAAAGACAAAAAGCATCTTGCTCAATAACAGCGCTTCAGGTTAATGCTTGAGATGACCAAAACTCCAGATTACAAAACTCTGATTTGGGGCTGTTTGTTACTGGTTTGCACTTATTTATTGTAAAAGAATAGACTTAAAGCTTCTTTAAGTGAGCTTCTTTCTGTTGTAACAAACATGGTTATTACTTTTGTGATCTCTATCTTCACCAGCGCTGCAGTAGTTGGGTTGCAAGAATTTAAATAGCTTCTGCTTTTCTTTTTTCTTTAAAGACCAAGTCACATGAAGCTTAAAATACATTTATTTATTCTTAACTAAAGGTGTTAAAGCAGTTAAACAAGGTGTTAAAGCAGTTAATTGAGAGCCCACTGGTCAGTCTAGATCTTCCTGTTTCCCTCTGGGAACTTGAGGGAAGATGAGTTGATCTGACAGTGTCCTTTTCACATGACTAAATTGATCCAAATGCTTCCTGTATTTGCCTAACTTGTAACTCATTGTATATTGCTCCTGTGGAAGGGAAGGGACACTGATATGAGTGTCAGTGTTTTATTAAATGTATAAAAGTTTGTGAATTGCGCTGCAGAGACATGCTGCTGCAAGAGATGAGAAGTAAGACAAGGCAGAGGTTGTGAGGCAGTGTTTCCTTTGTGGATCCATCAAAGTGACAACATGGGATATCCTTCTGAGAGCAGAGAAGGGTTCTCTCCTATTATGTACTTCCACAGGTATAGGTAATGCCATATAAAGTGCTTTGTCACAAATGGAAACTAATGCAGTGACACGATACCATAACTTATTAACACTGTTATGGATATAATTTATTAACCACAGAAAAATGACTCAAAGTGGAAACGAGAGTAGTTATCGTTTTCTGTCACTTTCATTAGCAATACTGTTTTGTGTAGGTATGGAAGGATTTGTTGTAAAGTATTTAAGCCGCCATACTTAATGTGTGGCCTCTCTGAAGCCCCATTTCAACTTACAATTTACTGTATTTTCTTAAACAATCCTGCATTTTGCATATTAAAAAAATAATCATTTTTACTCAGAATACTGGTATTCTGTGTACTGCAAAAAAAAACCCCCAAACTATTTTATAATGCAGATATATTTTATAGCTTGAAAATACGTGATTAAAAAACTTTGAGAACTGCAATCATCTCGCTGTGTGACTGCCGTGGCCACCCCTGAAGGTCAGGTTTGTTGCTCAGTTTGTGAGCCTGCATCACAGGGAATCCCTGTCAATGGGACTTGGAGTGCTCAGGATGGACCGGAGCAAATGCTTGGCTCTGAATGGCTATGTAATTGCAAGCAGCCGTCCAGTGGTTTAGTCTCAAATTTTTGGTATCAAGCAGGCAAGGTAAAAGGATACTGCAGATTTTGCACGGAAAAGCCAAGCCTGTTCTGAATTATGTGCTGCAGTGGGTATTTTCATGCTTTACCTCAGGTTTGCAGATTTTATTGCTAGAGACTAACAGCATGTGCAGATGCTGAGTGAAAGACCTTTTACGTTTGATACGCACGGCTCGCTTCATTTGTGCTTCCTCTCCAGACCTCTTTTGATGGGGAAGGTAACTTGGAATTTAATCTAGGGCTCAATTTTGGGCCGTCTTGTGCATTCCATTAAATTGGTCTATCTCGCGAGTGGCCTAGATCTCATTTCCCTCCTGTTTTGGCTCTTCAGTCTCCAAAGGGTTGTAAAGAAATTGTTCTACCATCAATTCTTATTTCCAACCCCTTGCACAGAAGCTCTACTCTACCTCAGTCTTTTGGGAGCTGCTCTAAAGTGATCAGGCAGGCAGGCAGCCCTGTTGCATTTACTTATTTAATGTTAGTCCTTCCATCTCTCTCCTCAGCCTTAGTCTTAGCATTTTCATAGTTCACTTTCACAGTTTTGCTCTTTTTGATTTTTAATGGAGAGGTCTCATAACTTGCACAGTTAATAACTGAAACACTACAAGGTGCATTTATGCTGATATTAAGAAGGTATTTTTTCTCTTTTGTCCCTATTGAATTATTGTCTCCCTCACTCTGTATGTGTATGTATATGCATCCATCCAGCCAGCCGTGTGTGTAAATATGTATATATAGTTAGATCAACTTTTATGAAGAAGAGGGCAATGTGGGCTATTGGTCCAAGAAAAGGATATGAAAGTCTTTTGATATTTCTGACACAAACTTACTGTGTGCTTTTGAACATTTAGCTGTACCTGTTATCTTGAGTTCCTGTAACCTTTTCTGTGAAAAGAAGATAACGAATCACCTACTAAATGAAGAGATTGTAGAGATTAATTAATATCTGGGCACTGCTTTGAAAATGTGGTGGTGATCAAATGACATTGACTTTTCTACTGGTATAATCTCATCTGATATTTTTTTTCTACAAAAAGATTTTCTAAATGATTATTGTTAGTATTCACAAACACGCATTTTATCAAAACACCACAAAAGCACAGTATTCTTTTTCTTACCCCATAGTAACCTGAAATGTGAAGGTATTGAGTTTTTTCCTTTTTTTTTTTTTTTTTTTTTTTTTTTTTTTTTTTTTTTTTTTTTTTTTTTTTTTTTTTTTTTTTTTTTTTTTTTTTTTTTTTTTTTTTTTTTTTTTTTTTTTTTTTTTTTTTTTTTTTTTTTTTTTTTTTTTTTTTTTTTTTTTTTTTTTTTTTTTTTTTGTGTTCCACTTTGCTCATCCTTTGAAACTGCTTGTTTCTAGTCTCACTCTCAGGACAACCAATTGTCAGTGTATTATAGATGAGAAATTCCAGGCCTGATATATAGTAGAATCTCAAATCTCAGTGGCATTTTTTTCTTCTCTATTTTGTAGGGGACATGCAATATTTCCATGAAATATATCCAGAGGCTGTGATACTTGGGGACATAGTAATTTACAGACATTGCATTACTAGTTTAAGGTTTTTTGAAGATATTTGTGTGTTCCCCTTTTCCCCCACCTGTAATGTCATTTACATAATTTTGCTCTTGGTGATGAGGGAATGATTTTCCTCAGTCAGAGAGATACATGAAATGTATGCATACACAGAACAAGTGCTGGTATGATACCCAAGTCTGAATAGTTTTGTGCTTGTGATAAATATAACTGTCCCGACTGCATTTTAAACAAATTTCCATGCTGTAGTGAGCAATTCTCTGCATCTGACACAGGCACAATATAGATCATATACTTTCCTTTCTGCTCAGAGATTCTGCCCTGAATTTGCATGCTGTTTTATGCAGACATTGTGCAGACTTTATAGGATGTGGCAGCGACAGCAGACAGAAAGCTTGCTCACAACATCAGTGTTTCTCAATTCACCTGATCTGAAGGCACCTTGCCATCATAGCACAATAGAAATCCTCTTGCATTTTCTCACTGCTGTTCTGATCCCCCCTTCCAAAATCCTAACCAAAAAAGTTGTGTTTGCTAAAATTAAAATTTCTATACTGATATTGAATCAAGGACTGAGCTATAAAGAGTTACCAAAATGTATACTTTTTTTTATGAGCAATTTCTAATTCACGTTTTAGAAAACCAAAAGGGTTTTTTT